CCCCGGAGGGACTTAATCCAGTGGCACGTGACATGTGGATAACACGCGCAGCATTTGTCTAACTGATGCTCTTGATGTGAGCTGGCATGAGGGTAATCAAATCCTCCGGTGTTTTTACGCTGCAGGTGAGAACACATTGGGAGCATAATGGACTGGTAGCATGTCATCAAGTTGATTGACGAACACATCGAAAGAGTGATTCGTTGAGTTGAATTGAATCGCAGTACATTATCGTGACAAATGAGCAAACAATCGACAAATGTATTGAACATATTATTTTACAGTTCGCGCGAATCCACATTAATCATTGTCTGTGTATGATTGTTAGGGTCTAATTACTTGGGGGCTTCGTTGATCCTCCGCATGTCAATACGAACCCTGATGTGCTGTACTATCTAACTTAATGAGGCCGTGTGTTCAAGATGCTGTCTGTTGANTCTGTTGATCACTTAGTTCTGGACTAAACGCAATAACTGACAATGGGAAGATTCGCGGATAGCGTCATGACAGGACTATTACTTATGAATAAGAAGAATTCCTGAAGAGAATGTTGCAGCAAACGGTTATCCCGAAAGATTCATAGTAAACAATCTCAAAAAGGCAACTCATTCCCAACTGATCCCCAGAAAGCCGTTTACATCATACTATCTGTTAAGGGCGATCACCTTCTGAACGATGCGTGCTAAAAGTTAAAATCAGCACTCAACCGCACAGTTCAAGCTGCTCAACTACGACGTATTGTCTATTCGTGGAATCTTTGTGGACAAACGTGCACATGTACCGTTCTGTCTAACACACTGTATACCAGTTCACCTGCAGTTGCGGTGACGCATAAATAGGCAGAACCAACCGTCACTTATCACAGTGGATGGCCGAACATATTCCAAAAAGAGTTGGTGAAGTGAATGAAGCGACCCTGTAATCAGGCAGTCACATGTAAGCCAGGGTCATCAATTGCAAAACACCTCATGATGACCAAACACATTGTTGATCCCGTTTCCTCTTTTAAACCGTCACTCTGCAACTGCAATGCAAAAGTGTTGGCAAGAAGTGAGGAGTTGCTTATCAGATTACATCATCCTGTTCTGTGCGTCCAAAAGTTGCTGATTGCATCGGTTCGCTTACCATGCAGTTGACTTGTTGTTTATAATGCTAATAGCCCCTGTCTATTTGTACATGTCTGTTCTGTAGGATTTACAAATTCAATGTGATATAAATGTGCTTGTTTGTTTTACATCAGCGATTGAGAAGATCAAACGAAATGTGACCATCTCGCAACATATGTCCACTTTCGGTATTGAGGAGATGGATTAAGGGGGGCAATGTTTCATATTACTGATGAGTCCCAACGAGGACGAAACACTTGTCCAATAGTCTTTATCTACCCCAAAAATCTTTCTTTACCCAAATTCATTTTTACCTGAACCAATGCGCGAAGGCTAGCGAAATTCCGATCCATTTGTGCACTGCTCATCGCGCTCGAGTACAGTTTGCCGAGACGAACCTTCATCAGACTGGCAAAGAATGCGTACGCTTGAATCTCGACATCAAGTGGATCTTGGTTTGTGGTCAACAGTAGGGCCAGAATCGGGGCTATCAGGTCACACATTCCCTGTGTGTATCCGTCGTCCAAATGTTCCCACACGTAGGTGACCAAGACGCNGGGGGGGGGGGGGGGTAGAACATCCGAAAGGGAGATTAACAATGTAAAATAGATGAGATTAGGAAGTTTGCGTGTGATATAGTTTAGTCAATAATTCCGGGACACGGATATGTGGTTATATTTGAAAAGCACAAGTCATGTGCTACGAGGCGACTGTTACCCATCTCCGATACACAAGCACACATTAGCTCATTTCGCTCCACACACACACACACACACNTCCATGCTCCGGATACAAAACACAGACAGCCATGAGATAATCCAGGGACTACCATCTGCCGGTAAAATTGTGTTTCTGGACGGGGAACCTATCAAATTTGCAAATAATAAAGCATGCGAGAGGACGATGCACTACGTTGGATCTAAAGGGACAGATTGGAACATGTGAATGCGATCATGATACGAAATGAAGCAGAATGAGTAAAATCCATATTAGACATGATTTTAATCCTGTTCTACTATGAAGGCCCTTTAGTTGGTAGCGTCGGGACAATGCCTGGCTGAGACTTGCTCAAGCTGTCCAATCAGAAAATCGATGAAAGCAAGAAATCAAACTCTGTCGATGGGACACACTATCACTTCTACATAAGTAGTAAATAAAATCAGTTTCATAAACCCAAATATTCACTGCTATTGTTTAACCTCCGTTTTACTCTTTTTTGTAGCCCAACCACCATCCCCCAGGGGTTTTCCGTCATTCTTGTTGTTGCTTTGGTAATATATATACATATATATATTTATATATAATGCTTTTTTCTAACAGGCATTTTTCGTATTCGCAGTTTGAAGAATCGTTTTATTGCTAAACGAAACGAAACATGGTTTTTATATTCACAGGTTATTTCGTTATCTAGACTGTAACTGAATCAATTAGTCTATTCTGTAATAGTTTAAATACTTATACTACGCATACCCATATTCCTCATTTTAAGGGGATATGCAGAGTAAAATATCCGTTGACTTTTAGTCCCTTCGCGGCCACGGGATTTACAGGGAGTTTAATATACTGTTTTTGAAGAACCCAAGACACTGGCAGTGCGTTACTACCAAATACACTTTCCTCAATGAATGATGTATTGTATAATCGCGTTTAAGAGATCATGGTGTAAAGGATCGATGAATGAAACGTACACTCTGATAACAGGCTGCAGTCAGACCTGGGGTAGGGAAAATTCACGGTTCATAGTTCCGTTTTCTGAAGTGATATTTTGGCATTGGCATAAATCAGAGACTATGTTGCTCTCTTTGTACACATGGATTTGTTTTTCTGTCTCAGTTGAAATGCCGGGCACCATGTGTGAGTGCACAGAGTCTCATCTGTAATGTGTGCATCAGATGAATCCTTTATGTCTGGCAGTCTTTGTACTAATCTGGTATCACCAACCGAGCACCGAAAGCAGAAACTGTCAAACACCTAGCGCATCCATTTGCTTTTTGTTTTGTTCATAAAAATCAGGAACCTGGTGACCACCAAACAACCAGCATTCAACGCCCTCACTCTGATGATGAATGTGTTCATTCCGCATTACTTATTTTCCCTGGTTATCTGTTGAAACAAAAGACAAGCACAGTTCTGTTCTCAGATTTTTCAATCATGTGTCGTCGTGTTTCCTCCACATTGCTAAACGATTTGATAGGAGACACGCTGGTCTACAAACAGTATCCAGCTGGAATATCGATCAGAATTTTTTATCTATTTATTGTCATTGGTCGCATTCAATCAAGGTGCCTAATTACTTCATAAGAAGACTTTCACGGCCATCTGACCAGAATTGAACTCGCCAGACCAATAATAGGGGAAACGATGGGTACCGCGCGCCTAGCGTGCAAACTTTGGTTTGTACATCTTTTATGGGTTTTTGTCAATCAACCGCTCCATCCTCCCCCCCCTCACCCCTCACCCCTCACCCCTCCCCCCTAAAATTCACTCCCATGTGCGACGAATGTTACCACCAAACACGGACCCAAAAACAAAGCAAACTAGCGTGAATGGGTAGCATCAAATGGGCTTCTCCACCCAGTTCAGGCCTATATCCGAATCTGATTCATTCACAAGAGGGGTGTGCGAGGGGGGGGGGAATACAGTATACTACTTTTTAGGTATTCACTTTGAGGTATTGGTAGAAAAGTGGTGATGGAATGTATCCGTCAGAAATTTTCATGTTTCTTCTTTTCATGGAAGTAGACACTCACGATGCTAGATTTTACCTCTCATGTCATTACGTTTCCTCACAAATGAATCGGGATCAATGAAAAATCCATTAACTAGTCGATTTACTTCTGTGGGTACTCAGTTAATACACTGACAGGAACCCTCTTCTCGTAGCTGATAGAAATCCGTCCATTAAAACCACTGTGTGTGCGTGTGTTTGTGTGAAGCAGCCTTACTCACGCAATCATCCATTCGAGACAACCCCTAATGTAGTGAAGCGATTTCTTTCAGAGATGCCGGAGGATTTCTCATGTCAATAAACCAGACAGCACGGTTGAGAAAAACTTTTCTGGTAATCCGGATATCATTTTCGCGGGTTGCAACGAGAATAATGAAAGCTGTCGATTTCTGCGCAGTAAAGTGAAAAAAATGTAGCCCAGGAAAAATGCCTTGTTTTTTTCGTGTCCGTAACCGAAAGGCTCAGAAGTGCATGCGGATCCGGGTCAGAAGTGTATTTGTATGCATCAAGATGTAGCCTCCTTCTTATCCTTGTTTGTCAATTCGATGGATTCTGGGTCTCTCATTCGCTCAACAGTGAACAGAATGGAAGGAAGCAATTTAAGGAGGACAAATCGGTTTTCTGAAACCAGATCAACTTCCGCTGAAGTCCTCTTCACACGTCAAAAGTTGCACAAGGCTTATTCAATCAGCCCCGTTTGATTGGCCAAATCTTTTGTACTGAATCAATTAACGCACAGGCGAGTTTCTTGCATCCCCGAATACGATTAAACATGGTTGTTTATGCTGTATAAAATGTTTCACCTTTGTAAATGAGATTATCGTTCGGGTGCGTGAGTCAAGAGGTCCCGTAAAAATACACAAACAAGCCACAATATTGTTTTTCAAAAGTGACTTTAGCCGAACCAACATTTGAACAGAATCAAAGTGACCTCACAAACTTCATTTAATGGTACCGTGATTGGATGTTAGTGGGGCTTTGCGTTGAAATGCACTTTTTTAAAGTATAAAACTCAAATCGTGCCAGGCGTTGGAGTGATAATCAATGAGGAAAATTCCGTTGTTTCACTAGTACCTTCCTAAACTACTTACGTACATAATAGAATCAGGTTTGTTTTAGCCACAACGTGAGTACCAAAACACAAGATTTCAGTGACAACGTTTCGACCTTCTTGGAAGGCGTTTGTGTTTTGGTACTCACGTTGTGGCTAAAACAAACCTGATTCTATTGTTACCATGAGCACAACGCCCAAATTTTTCGAAATGATCCGGAACACCTATGGATCATCAACTGTTTACTTACGTACATACTTTCTAGCACCTAAAATGACCTCATCCGAGTTGGAAAATTACTGCAAATAGAGTTAGATATCTCGTGTGAGTAAGGGAGGATTCGACTAATCCAACCGGGTCTAGACAGCTGTCCCGCAATGCTTCCTAGCTTTTCAGTTCACGATTCATTTGCTATGTACACGACGAATTCCCATTTGAGAGTTAGATGTGTTTGTC